CTTCAACAGTAATCTAGTCTAGTATGTGTTGATGTGTGGGGAGAGGGGAAGATAAAAGTTCAATAAATAGTGGAAATAGTGCAAATTAATGATTGACAAATATTTATTCTTTCAAACAATAATTGAGAAGGGAAACAAAAACCCTTAGACCTAGTGCTAGGCCTCTCCCAGTTCAGGTTTTCCCAATTTAAAATTTTAGATTCTTAGAGCATGGGTAGATGCAAGAATTTCTTGGAGATGGGAAAAGCCCATCTTTTAAAACAAAGAATGAAATCTAAATATACCGAACAAAACTTTTTCTTGACTATAGAGAAAAGGCATTTATCATTAAGTCCCTTTGTTGTCACTACCAGGTAACTGTTCTTGCTATGCAGTAATATCCTTGTCTAAGGAAGTATATACGCAACTGAAAAGAATTCTGGAAGGTAGAGTGGGAACCCATTTGTAAACATAAGATTGCGGTGAATGTCTTAAGGAAGATTGTGGATGGATAAAACCCATGCTCTTCATTTCAATCAAGAGAAGCAACCTCTGGTTGAAAAAGATACCCAAACTATGTCAATTGTCATGAATTCTGTTTATGTTTTGCTAAGTAACTTAATGTGAAAAGAATGAAAAACTACCAAACAGAGGAAAAAGATCATGAGGATAGTGCATGGTGAGACAAGCAACTGTTAATATCAAGCCTTGTTACTTCCTTAAGGAGTTTCAAAGAGCTCCCATTATTTTTAATGGGTTATCTTGACCTTTAAAAGTACATTCGATGGGGAAAAAATCAGCAAGGTAATGTTCACAAAGCTATCATAATACATTTCAATGCACAAATTTTTGATCCAGCATGAAAAGAGGACAAATTAGTTACTGACTTCTGGAGCAAGGGAAATCAGTAGAAATCAGTAGAAAATGACTAATTTAAAGTGCTTATGTTTGCTTAAACATAGGTCTATAAGCTCCAGGGGACAAAATGATACAAAAATGGTACAAAATCTTGGTAGAGGTTTGGGTCAATATAGCAATTATTGTTTATATAATTGTTTAAACACAGTTTTATTAGAAATTTCCTCTAACTCTGATCTGAAATACCTGTACCACACAGGCTTGGTGGATCAAAATGGAATGAAATTGGTACAAGTCCATGTTTCACAGTTAAAACAGTTTTCGTGGGACTGTGGCCGTGGTAGTTGAACTCAATGATCTTAATGGTCTTTTCCAACTCTATCATTTTATAAATCAGTGCCTTAGAACAATACAAGGAGAGGTACCATGTCTGCCATATAAATTAGCTAGCAGAAATTACCATAATGCGTTGTTCTTTTTCACAGTGTATAACATGATTTGCCATCAATGGGCTGACTGGGTTTTGTTTGATGCAAAAGAAGTGGAAGATTTCATGTATTCAACTGACAACTAAAACAAGTTATTTAAAAAAATAACACCAACTACTCTAATTAACAAGGAAACTATCCTCCCTCTGATTTAGTGTATCTAATTTTCATCTTTATTCAAAGCAAAATGACAATGATTAATTGAAAATTTAATAAGCACTAATTATTAACTTGGCAAATGTAGTACCAATTAACACTCTATTAAAACTAATTATGACATGTTTCATTCAAGTATTTGCACTTAATTGTTTCACCCACTTAAGAAGCACCTTAATTAAATGTTCTGTTTAATTAAAAACATAAGATTTCTAATAAAAATGTTTTACTGTAAAATAAAAATATTTGAGTTACAAATGCTCAGTGGTTACAGTGAGATGTACATTATTTTCCAGTACCATAAATGTAGTTCTCTATATCTGATGCCATCACATTCTTAAATCTATCTGAATTAAAGGCTACAACCTCAGGAATTCTTATTAGAGATTAAATCCCAATGAATTCAATGAGACTTACTTTTAAGTAGATAAGCATATAATTGTACTGCTCATTAACTGCATAGACTGGGAACCTGGGACCTGCATCAGGTATGTTTAAACTTTTTATTTATTTATTTATATCTATTTATTATTTATTTTTCAAATTTATATAGGCTACCCATCTCACCATACAAGTGACTCTAGGCGGCGTCTTATTTTGGCTGAAAAACATTTTTTGGCTGAAGAACAACAAAACTCCCATCTCATAATCAATGTGATATAACAACTGCATTTGAAACTTGTCTTTGTATCAAAGGTAGTCTGACTTTATGTTTGTGTGTATACATCTGTGTGATGTTCCAAAAGCCTAAATTAAATTCTACTTGGATACATGACATGAGTTATGTAGGTCTTTTAAATCCTGCCTATATTCTTGATTCTAAAAGCATTTGTTTTATGAGAGCAACATCACTGGAAATCACATATATGCCTCAAATTTAAGAATTTGCCCTTTTGTTAACAATATCTTCTATACCTTGTTAATAAATTAATATATATTTAGGACAACTGAACCATCACCTCTTCTACTAGATAGCGGGAAATGTAAGACATTTCGGTCTTTTCTTTTTTTATTTTAAAAAAGGTGACCCAGTTTGGATAATTATTTCTCAGCTTAATAAACCAAAACATTAACATATCGTTTGCAGTAGCATGCAGACAGTTCTGCTATATTAGTGTGTCTGAAGGCAATACAATGTAATTAATCAAGTTGTCCATATTGTTCAAAGTAGGAAACTACCAGAAACAGAACCTTTATCTGGGAAGTCTAAGGGGCAGAATGATCATTTGATGCCCTCCCTTTCTCTATCTGTATCCTAGGTCAATGATGTTTTTCTCCACTGTTTGTCCATTGAAGTTGATAACCTAATATATAGGAATGTGTGGGGAAATTATACAAAAAAACTGGAATAAATGTTTTGAATTATAATTTTCTACTATGTTCAATGAAAAGTATTGATCCATCTGATAATTCTAAATACTGACCATGCATTGTATGTGGCACCCTCCGTGTCTGGAACACATGGTTATTAATATCTTTCTCTGTTTTAAAACATATTAAGGTAAATATTGATATTGTGCCAAGAGAGGAAAAATGCTAAGTTTATGAAACTTAAAAAATATGCCTTCACTTTACCTTCCCATAAATATTTGGAGGCTATGCAAGACAGGATTCATTTATTTTGAATATTCAAGGTGAATTACAATTCTGTGTAAGTGGCAACAGGACAATAATTTTTGCTTACGATCAAAGCTGCAGCTTGACTAATTGTATATGCAAATAAGGCAATTTATATTTAAATTATGCATTCCTATTCTAGTCCCACCGGCACACAAAGATCAGCGAAGAGAATTGGTAGGACATTTGCAAGATGTTTGAATATTTATTACCAACTGCAAACATTTTCAGATCCCTTGAAAAAGAAATATATGGAGACAAACCCACAAATGAAAATCATATTATTGTCTTTACAAATTTTTTTTTAAAAAGAAGAAATGAACTTGATTACAGGCTCTTTTATATTAGGATGTGTAATTACCAATCACATTTCTATTTTATAATATTTTGTATAACCTGAAAAAATTACAAATATTAGTGCTTACCCTCAGTTCCTAGAGTTTTATAAGCAGACAGTACTACAAAGCATTTCCAAAACAGTAATAATTAATATCAGCAAATATTTATCAAGAATCATCCAATGTTAAAAGTAAACTTAGGGTCTATTTAGTGAGGTTCTGAACCCAAATCTAATCTGAACACACTGGATATGTCTTAAAAATACAGAGCCCATCAAGTGGTTTGTCTGAAGGTATTGTTGTTGCCAGAGGGTGAGGGTGTGGTGGGTTTATATTCAGGGTTTTATTTTGTAAGCTGTCTGGAGTCACCATGAGAGAGTTGGGTGGCCATAAAAATTGCTTTAATAAAGAAATAATAAAAATAAATAAAAAGTAGGATAACACAAACAACGGGCATTTGTGGCAACTTTTCTGCTAGCATTTAGAAAGAGCACAGGAACTAGAAACGGGGAGATGCTCTAAGGTTTCCTTGGCCTGGCCCCAAAATGAACTCCTTTCGTTCACAAAAAATCAGAAACAAATAATTCCATTTCTTGATCCATTCAACAGTGAGGAAATGAGAAGTCTCTTCCTCCAAATCAATCCCACAAAACACCTTCCCAATCCTTGCCTTTGCTTATTGCAAAGTGGAGATATTCCCAGTAGTTCCAGTGCCAAAAAGGGAACTTCAGTGAGGAAAAAGGGACCCTCCCCCCTTTTTTCTTTTTTTTTTGTTGTGTACTAGGTTTTGTAAACTCCCAGTCCTGAAAGCCATTCCTCACCCCTGTAGAAAGAGACAGGAAAGAAAGAGAGAGGAAAGAAAGTAGGAAGATAAGGGGGAAAATCTCTCTTCCTACTCATTGCTATACTCATTCTTATGGGCTAGTAAATAATGGGAGGAGTAATATTGGGAAAATTTGGAAGGTGGGTGATCAGCAATAACTAGTAAAAAGATGGGAATTTAAAAAATGGACTTTAAAAAATGTCACCCCCCAAATTCACTTCTGATCTTGTTTCTCAACTTTATCGGCATCACTAAAACAGACAGTTTACCAGGCTGTATTTTCTTTGGGTTTAGCCAATGTATTTGACTGCAATCAGGCAAATGCAAATATTAATTTATAGATCAGGCTTCACCCAAAGTGTATAGGTGAAAAATGGTGGAGATCTCTCATACAGTGCAATGGCTTTATCAGCAGATATTGCCTGCTTGCCAACCATTGGAGTAAATGATTTATAAAAATCCTTGGATTCAGCCACAACTTCCCCAGAAGGAAATGTGATACAATCTGGGTTTCTTTCTTCTTTTAATGTTATATTGACACCCCCTTATCTTCTGACATAGTTGTATGCTGTAATTAAAATTATTTTGTGTTCTGATCCATTCCAGCCTAGCATTATGAACTGAAACTTTGGTTTATTAGTAATGCCTTTCTTTTTTCTTTTTTAAATTCCTTATATCAAAGCATTAACAAATGCACACAGCTGCCAAACTGCTATGCTCGTGTTTTTAAACAATTCTTACCAGCTTTCTTCCAGATCTCCTCTGGCACATATCCAGAAGCAGGCCTGTGAAGGAATTCCCGATGTGAGTCTATAAGAACCAGGGGGAGAATAAGAGAAAGAAAAAAGTATATTTTAAACACTGGTTAATCAGAGCTTTTTTTAAAAAGCTGTTCTTCATAATTCAGTCAAGGAACTGAAAATATAACCTTGATTAAAAATGAAGAGGGCAGTAATGTTTTTACTCCAAAATTCCTTATGAAACATTTCAATTGGCTCATACTAAATGAATTTGATATAATTCTGTTCTTCACTAATATCCAGATTTCTGGAGACCATTTAAGTGATATTCTTCATACTTCTTTCTTTATATTCATATATAGACACATTTTGGAGAAGTAAGAAAAAACAATACCAGTATAACTGAAAATCTATGTTGGGCAAAAGCTAGTATTAGCCATTGAAATCTACCCTCAGTCTTACAAAATAATTGCAGCAAATATTTTTCTTTAAGTTTGTAACAGATACTGTAACTGAGTCCCATTTTAAGATACAGAAAGACAAGAATTTGTGAACACAAACTAAAAATTGCAGTCAAGATTCCTAGTTTCAGAATTATGGGAAAGCTAATTATAATGGCAACCCTTTAGTTTATGATCACAGCAAACAAACTGGGATTGCCTCAACAGCTGTTCTCTACTAAAGAAATCACGGCTGCTGGCTAGGTATAAAAGGACTCTGCTCTGACTGGTGAACTTAGCACCTTGGGAGAACTGCTGTTGGTAATGTAGCAATTGTCCCTGCCAGTTCTGTTTGCAGGATCAGGACCACTGAAAACTTTCCTAGCCTCTCTGTATAAAGATTGCACCATCCAGTCTGTGGGTATGAAAGGATTATTGTTCTTCTTTAGAAGAACTGCTGTAAACAACTGCCCCGATGTTTGCAGGATCAGGAATACTGAAGACTTGTCCAGGTGGAACCTCTCTGTATAAAGATGGCATGACCAGCTCCCTGACTTTAGAAGGTTTATTGCCTGTTTTGGATTTCTTGACAAGAATTTGGGGAGGGTAGTTCTCAGGTGCTACTTTTGATACAGCTTGACTAAATTCTTAGGTTCAAACTCACTGAAGTCCCTTAGTTACACAGTATAGTAGGTAAGAATCTTTGTTGCATATGAGATGCAAATACTTAAAATGGTTAATTGCCTTTTGTCAGCATAAAGGGGTAGTTCCTTATTGTACCCATTGTACATAATTTGGAGGTGTCAGCCCTTCAAGGTGGACCAGACCAGGAAACTGGCTCCACAAGTCTGAGTGGAACTATGTTTTATTAGTAACAGAATCTTGAAAGCCTGACTGCATTTTTCCTTCCCTTTGTCTTATACTCCAAGGAGTTAGGGTGGAGCCAGTTTGAATTTCCTCCTAAAGTTTTAAGACTTGTTTCCCAGTCTTAAACATGTTTGTAACTGTCTCTGTGTAGTTTCTTCAAGGTTATTTTTGTGGTTCTCTACAGAAGGTTTCTTTTTCCTGTTCTTCCCAGTTGTTTTGCCCTGTTTTTTGATCTTAAATCTTAAATCTGGGTGAATTTAGATTGTTGATATAACTGATATGTCTGCTCTGAGAAATTCTGGCTCTCAACCTAAATTTTACTCCCTGAGGTGGTATTGCCATTAGTAGGGTTGCTGCTAAGGGAGTGACCCCTAAGGTGGCCCTTTTGAGGTCCCTTAAGGTGGACTACTCTATTTTCATGTGCAAGTATTGGGAAAGAGCTGGGACTATAATGGGGAGGAATTGCCAAATGCTGCTGGTCTTACTAAATTATGGTTTGATGTAATAAGATGATTAGGGATATGGAGGAGAGTGAGGAATGGAGCATTGTCAGAAAACAAATTCTGAAATACTAACTGGTAGGGAATTGCAAATTTGGCCATTAGTTGTTGGAAACTTTATGGCTTTAGAGATCTCAGTTATGATCCACTTTGTATGAGCTGTATTTGTTTTCTTTCAACTTTGGCATCTGCTTATGAGATATGCATATGCAATCTTATGTATCTAACCAGTAGTGGATTCTGTAGTAATAATTTCCCTACTGGGTAGGGAATTGGACTGCATGACCCAACTTTGGACTTCGATTTGTGCTTGGCTCTTTAGCTTAAAGACTTTATCTTGGCTCCTCTTTTGTTCAATGCTATCTTTACCTTTTGCCCTTATAGAAGATTATACTGTTTGCTCCTTGTAGTTTGGCTTATGCATGCTTTCTCTGGTTCTTTCGGGCTATTTTGATTTAGATTTGAAGATTTGTGGAAGTCTTGTTTTCTTTTATCCCTTGTGGTTGGCAGCCCTCAGGCCTAAAGGTTAAAGGACAAGAGGGCTGTAATCAGTGCTGACATGTTCTTGTGGTGAAAGCTCATATCCTGAGTATATCCTGGTTATTCTTGGGAGACACATCATTCTTTGCAGTCATTTTCAGTCTTCACTTGTATGTTAAGCTTGAAGCTCTAGTTCCATCTGGATTCTATCAAATATGCATTCAGGGCTATGCTCTATCTAGTTAAAGGCAATGTTAAAATTTTATTATTTTAATTCTTTAGTAACCTTTTCTATAACTTGCATGTTTAGAATATACTTCCCTTTTTTAGTTAGTAATGTCTTCTTTAGGTAAACCTGTTCTTCAACTGAAAGAAGAATCACTTTTCCTGTGTATGTTCAAGATTAATCATATCCATCATTATTTTTAGATCACAACTACTGCATCATACACAATCACTAATATGCACTGTTTTAGGGGGTGTATTTTGGAGAGATGTACTGTGCATACAGTTGGGGCTTATTTCCTCTGGTCTGTGGACTGAGTGGAGTCATCCCAGTGTGTATAGTCTGTACACCTGTTGTCTATAGCTATTTGTAACAAGATATCATAAGCACCCTGAATAGAACACAGCATAGGTTTTTCTATACTGTTAATTACTATACATTTAATAAAGTGACCTGTGTGTGTGTTGCTAAATATTCATGAACATTCTGCAACTGTGTTCAGCACTTGTGCCTCTTTCATAAAGGGAGGGTGGTGATTAAAACTGCAGCTGAAAGGCAGTTGGTAGCAACAATTAAGTTAATTCCTACTTAAAGAAAAGAGGGCCACACTAAGGTTGCCTAGTTAACAATGGCTCTGGATTTCATTTTGGCCATGACGTTCAAGGATCTCTCACTTGGCCTGGTTCACGCAGCAGGACATACACTGGATTTGGCATTCAGTTTGAGATGGTGATTGGAAAGTAGAGGAGCTGGTTGTAACTCTGTCGTGCACAGATACTCTTCAGTCAGTTTGACACTGGTGGCTGCTATCAGCCTTTACAGGGGTGAAAGATCAGTCATGACCGTCCAAAGTGCTGAATTCAGATGATTCTTTGAATGCACTTGTGGACTTATCTGTCTTATCTGTTAGCAATGCAGTTGGAGCCCTGGCAGATGTGTGCAACAAGGAGATATCCTGCATGTTTGATATTACTGCTTCTAAGCACTCTCTTCCCTGGATCAGAACTCAAGTAGCATCTTAGTTTCCAATGTCTACAAGTAATAGCAAGCTGGAAACACTGTTAGAAATTTCAATGAAGCCTAATGCCACTTAGAATGTAGGGCTTGAAAAATGTTTTTAAATGATCCAGGACACTGATCCTGTATGAAAAAATGAAACTAAATGATAGTTCAGAGCAAGGAAAGTAACACAAACTATAGAAACAACGCAAAGCCATAACAAAACATTTGAATGCTAACTATTTGCTACTATTATAAAATATAAAATCCATAAGTAGACCTTAAAATCAATGAAACTATGCTGAATGGGACCTTTGGATGCTACAAGAAAGATAACATTACTAGGAATTGTGGAATTCTAGAATACATATTTTCTGTTAGTTAGAAAAGAGCAGAAGCTATGCAATACAACCATGATTTTCACTATGGCTTTTTGGTATGATAAAAAACTGGGATAAAAATGCTGTATTGATTTGTTTAGGTATGTAACAGTCAAAGCTAAATGGAATTCAATGATATCATTCACCGGATTGCCAACTAATTGGTGCAATTTCCAGGCGCAAAGATCAATCAAGCTCATATTCCAACCATAATTCATATGGATAATGAAGCCAAGACACTGTTAGATTAAATCAAGATCTTATGAAAGACTTCCACATAGTTTTTAATTTTCTTTTCTGGAGAGAAGTATGGTATAATATATACTGAAAATAATAAGAAACATACTTCTGTGTTTTAAAAATAATTTTAAAAATGGATGTGATGAAGCTAGCCTGGGGGACTTTGTGTTTTCAGGGACAAATATCTCCATAATTCTAGAACAGAAAGTAAACAAAACTTCTAATTTTTTTTAATAACATATCTTCTTTCTAAGGAAAGAGTTATAGGATTTGAAAACAGAGGCAGAAAACAGTTCCAGACTTATTCTCTTGAGAATCTTGTCAATGTTTTGTAAAGTGAAGACCATTAGATCTTGTTTGCTGGCTGAAATAAACATTTTTTTTTTTAAAAAAAAGTATCCTTGTTTGTTAAAAGAAACGATAATACACCATTCCTAAGAAACTCTGCTTTGCCTGGGATAAGACAGCTTGCTCTGGAACAATCTCAAATCTTTCACATGTGTGATGTCAATAGAGATGTGTCAGTATCTACATTTTTTTCAGATTTCAAAGTCCTCAATCATCACTTCATTCCATCACATTTCTTACTATTCTGTGGTTACTTATTTCCATGTTACATTCACCTTTTCTCCAAGAGCCCATGGTAGCATACATAGAACTGTTTCCTCCCTTTTTCCCCCCATAAAAACCTGTCAGGTAGGCTAGGCTGAGAGAAACTAATAAAAGGAATTTGTATTTGTTTCAATACATTATTTCTATGCATCTTTCTCTAATTTACTGCTTTGTACATCACATTCCCTAACATGCTTTTGTGTATAATTTTTGAGTTGGAACTGCATAGCTAGTTTCAGAGAAGTGTACAATCTAAATCACACATTAGTCCAGGATATGCAAATTAGGTCATACAATTTTAATCACACTTTTGCTTTCTTATGTGA